AGGAGATGCCCTGTTTAAGTGTGGGAAACGAGGTTGCTGAGGTCACCCTACATACGTGCCAGATGTCCAAATCAACTGCAAAATTAGTGCCCTATTCAGAGCTTTCGGAACTTGTTTCGTTTACTTTTTTTACTGGTGACTCCGTCAGCGATAACAAAATCATATTTGAACCCGCTAGCCACAACTCGTTATTGGGCAATGTGTCTGCAAAAAAGAACAGGAGGGATTGAAAAGGGTTCTTCATCCCTTGTAGAATGTTCCATGGTTGTTACCCGCACTTCAACTTGGGCTCTGACAGATTACTGACAGATCCATTAAGCCAGATGATTCTTCGTCAATGTGGTAATAAAAAGTGGGGGGAGATCGACCGTAGTGGGCATGGCTTGTGATGCGAATATTACATCCAAAGTGCAACAGTCTGCCACCATAGAATCATTTTATTTTTTTCAAAATTTCTAAACAATTAAATTTGTCAAAAAAAACATTAAATTATCTAAGAAGGGGCGTGGCCGAGCGGGCGGGCCATAGTGTGAGTGCTAGAGAAATTGCCTTTTATGTGTAGTTATATCTGTAAAAGAATCACTAATGGATCTCGGAGAATAAAGTTATAAAGTGGCGAAATTTTCAGTAAACCCATTGCTGAGGTGGGCGGAGTCGTTGGGGGCGGAATCATGTGTATTACTAAATAAGTGTGTATCCAAGGGTCGATTGATAAGGATCATTCAAGGATTTCAATTGCAGCAATTTTAGGGACGATTTTTTTCTTGGAATCCTCTTCGAGCGTACAGCCTCCCGTGCACTTCGTCGCTCTCATACTTGACGATGGTCATCTACAGCTGTTCTGGATGCTCGGCGTTAAGTTGGAATCTGTCAGGTTCGCTGCAATGAATTGCTATTCGGACCCGGAGACGTCCTACGTTGAGAATCCCAGCGAAAGGTTTTGTTGTCAAAAGGAGGGGCGGGTTGGTAGTCGCTTTGAGAAACATTTTTTCGGTTGGTTACATTTCTCTGTTCTTGGGTTTTTGGGTTTCTCGTGTGCCTACGCTCACCCCTCTCCCCTCTTCCCCTCCCCATCTCTCGACAGCAGCTCTTTGGTTTCTTGATTTCTTTTCTGATTCAAGAGGCCAGTGAGATCACCCGGTGCGCATAGTTACAAATTGCTCCATCATGTTTTTCGCCTGTCAAGATGGATTGCCCAATATTCAAGATTCAGACCTTCGAATGAAATTAAGCTGATGTATTTGAGCTCCGGGGATTTTTTTTCCTGGAGAATTCACGAGAAGGGTTCGTAATTTGCATAATTTCTTCCCAACGACAGTGTAGAATACTCGATTTTTTTCAGGAAGGATATCCAATTTTTTTTTTGGAAAATGGGGAGGGAAGGAAGGGAGGAGAAGAGCTTGCGCCAGCAATTAGCACCCGATTCCTTGAGATTACATCAAGTTAGGAACAACCCAGAGAAGGATCCTGCTCTATGAGCATCTCCTCTCAACTGAATCCTTCAAACCTCAGTCTTAACCATAATTCCACCTCATGTTTCCGAAAAATATGACGACGTGGGGGTGGCGCAGGATGGGGTAGTCCTACAATACCAGAGGGTGGAGACCGCCGAAGTATGAATGAGTATGGAATCCTGTTCCATCAAGTTAAAGGTAAGTCTTACCAAGCGACTCAATCCCACCACTACACCGCTCCCCTTATCAGTATTCCCGCTTTGCCGCATTGATGAGGGGAATTCCACTGCAGTACGGCCTCTGTAGCGGACGCTGAAGCGCGTCAGCGGGGAGGGGTGCGGGGGTTGGATTGGCGCTCATTCTCCACCAATTGAAGTCGCTTGCTGCTGTAGCATTAGTGGAAAAAGGCGCTGCCCGCGTCGCCCCACCAGGTCTCCCCTGACACGCCCCAGAATCGCCCAGCGAACAAGGCTCTGCCAACAAGTCAATAGCCCCGCACCTCAACACCCGTATACGCACCTGCCGTTTATCCCAACAAATCTACTTCGAACCCGAGCCAGAGACTGCGCGGACTCTCCACCAATCCATTACCACACGCGTTTCTCATTTACGCAGACCTTAACACCCACCAAAATAGGACCCAACAGCTGCCTGGACCTCATTGGAGACTCATGAGCACACAGCGTGCTCTGTTCTTTGAAAAGCGCTTGTCCCTGACCGGGGGGTAGTAGCGGCAAGAAACAGGTGCATTCTGTGATCTCTGTTAGGTCGTTAAGAACCCGAGAAAAATAGAGAGGTGAATATATGTGAGGGGGCAAATCCCTCAATATTATTTATGTGCGAATGCAACGACGGCGAAACAGCTTGCACAAGTTGAATTGTTCTTGCCCAGTTTTCTCGCTCGTACGCCGATTCAACGAGATGGTCTTTGGCGCTGCTTCTATTGGGAAGGGGCATTTTGTGATGTCACTGGTTGCGTTTTGCTAGTTCATGTTAACAAGTAGATTCATTCTTGGGACCTGTTAACCCTTGTGAAGCTACACAATGGTACAAGGGAGTGTTGGAAACAGGAGTTGACATGCCTTCACAGGATAGCCCATAAGAGCTTCGCTGATACCATTTGTTGCCCACACCACGCCGAAGTGCTCCGAATCTTTTTCTGTTTTCAGGGCACGCGAGACGTTACCAATGTCGTCCTGGGTCGACATCAGGATCAATTTATCGCCTTCAGCTGCAGCTATCTACGTCAACGACACATTGGCTGCATCGACTTCGCTCTTGGTTCGTTCTCTACAGAATGCAAGAAAGACCCCTGGGAATGAGTAGACCCTCACCAGACTTCCACACCCGAATATGGGCCTCTCATAGAGCAGAGTTTCGCTAAAAAACCTATAGCGAGAAGTAAAACGGCAACTATGACCACCACTAGAGGATAGTTCTCGGAGAGAAACTGGAGGAAGTAGTAGAGAGAAAGGTAGGGGGTCGTACCAGAGGAGGAAATTTTGAAGGGGTAATTTTTTGCAGTCCCCCCTAACTAGGACATGCCCTGATTCTTCGAATACTGTACTGGGACCTGGGATGCTCTCACCTAGAAATTTATGCCAGCCTTGTCGATGAGATCGCCTCGTCGTGGCACTGCTACAAATTGCTTCATCAGGTTTTCCGTCGTTCAAGATGAATTACTTAATATTCAGGCTTCAGACCACCGAATAAACCAAAATGAGGAGTTGAAGCAGGGTGCCGAGCTTCCTAAGACGTGGGATTCCTGGCTGACCTCGTGACACTTCTGAGCAAAATCTTCTGAAGATCTTCACTTTTTGCTCAACTCCTACACGAAACAGAACCTCCCTGAAATAGATTGTAGTAGAAAGCGGAACTAAAGTACCCGCGACTTATCCCACAAGATTACCCCCAGTGAAGTAAGCTGATTTCGAAATTTCGAACAGTAAACAGATTCTAATCAGAATCGCTTGGGAGCTCCTAGAACTTTGAACTGTGGATTGAGAGGAATCCTTTAATGCGAGGGGATAAGTCCTATTTCAGGCTTCTGATGAAGTTGACCTTTGGGAAAGGGTATAGAACTTCCTTCACTTTCCACTAGGATAAGTGGCCTAGTTACCCGCGGCACTCAAAGCCGCAGTAATTGACATGAGCATAAAGATGTCATTAAAAGGAGGGGGGGGAGCATCTAACAAAGCCGTCAAAGGCATAAGGCGCGATAATCTGGTGCTTGCTTAAAATTGGTAGCAGGGTGCTATATAATGGGGAAACTGA